GTATAGACCGGAATGCCCCTCTGACAAAAAGTTAAAATTTGTGAAATACCCCCCGCGTAGGTTGGACACCCATCTTTGTAATGCGCCCCTACCGGGTACCATCCAAAAGGCCATGCCCAAAAGGGCATTTCGCTCTACCCACATCTTTTGGGGGCATTTTGGTAATTATTTCAACGGATGGGGGTATTTCGCAAATTACTTCCCACCAAAGAAAGGAGAGAAAAAAAACGAAAAAAAAAAAACAAAAAAAAAAACAAAAAACAAAAACAAAAAAAGAAAAGCAAACAGGGGTGGGTAGTCCAAAGGATTTCGTTTTCTTCGTTTTTTTTTTCTTCTGTCAACCGATCAGATTGATTTCCTCGTCGCTGACGTGGCGCCCCACACAATCCACCATCCTCGCCTTGCCCTACCACCTGCCACGGTAGCGCCACGTCGGCCGAGTGATGACCCACACACGCTGTACAGAACACAGTACATGAATTGGGACGCTCTGGAGACCAGTAACATTTCAATGTTGGACTCGTCAAGATGCACTTGGCTCTGAAAGCGTCCACGTGCATGTAGAGTGATGTGTAGTGGAGCGAGTCCCCTCCTCAACCGTCTTTCATACCGCGCAAACGACTTCACCTCCTCAACAAGCGTGCCGCCACATCAAGCGCGGTGTTTCTCTTCACATGAGGAATTTTCGCACTGAACTATGGACGTAACTCTGCTCAGATGCATGCAGGAAAAGCAGCAATTTCGGACAGGCATACCCAGAAATGTCCGAGTGAAAAAAGAAAAACAAAATGTCAAAAAAACAAAAAAAAGTCCGAGCGAAGTCCGAGTGTGAGGATACCTTACCGTTTTCCCACGAACACAACGCCCCGTCATCACAAATGTATCAGACTCGAAAGATCGCCTCTATACATTCATGATGAGGGTGCGTTGTGTTCGGCGGAAGACGGAAGTGTGTTGTCTAGAGTTTTCCACAGTCAGGTATGCGGGCATGTACTCACACTGCTCTGGATGTGATGTCCGCCAGATGCATCCAGATCCTGTCGTTTTGCCCTCAGATACATTCAGAAAAATGCTAGTGTGTTGAAAAGAAAAAAGAAAAAAAAAAATGCTACTGGAAAAAAAAAAAAAAAAAAAAATGCTAGTGTGAGTAAACCCTGCTGAGCGCGCCCTAACCCGCCTATCGCCTTCTGCTCCTTGGAATTGTTTATTATTATTGTTTTCGTTTGGAATCATCGAGACGAATCAGATCCACGGACAAAATACATTTGGAAAAAGAAAAAGAGAAAAACGAGCAGATCTACGGACAAACGACGTTGCAGTTTGCCGACCGTCGTTAAACTGCCTCTTTTGACGAAAGTGTTTTCCCTTTTTTTTATAAAATAAAATAGAAATAAAATAAACTGCCTCTCTCGACGGTGCAACCGCGCAATTCTCTGTTTTCTGCATCTGTTCTAACGGGCCGCATTACTCACCCAAGGACACTGACTTTTTGGACAAACCTCTGGACGCTATTACGCCCACATTCGTCCACTTCCACTGGCGTGTAACTGCCGTCAGAATCAGTCAGATGCATTCCGGAGAAGTGCCAGTGTGAGTATCATCCCGCTCCGACGGATCCTAAGGCAAAACTCAACCGCCGTTTCCGGCAACTCTGGTTGTCGTTTTCGAAACTGACGAAGGCGCCGTTTCAACAATCACGTGTTACTCTCTGCGGTTCGCTTGCGCGGTTCCGGACGCGATTAACGCGGTAAACTGCCTGGTTAATTATATTATTCACAGAATTACAAATATAATCTCTGTTTATGAAAACAAAGTTGTTTGGAAAAAAAAAAAAAAAAAAAAACAAAGCTGAGAATAAGTCCGACCGTACTGACAATGGGTCTTGTTGTACAGATTCCTATAGACACAGTGGCGGTCAGCTACATAACACAGTTTTGAGTAGCGAAAAGCAATGCTGAAGTGGCTGCAGGATCGCAGGTCTTCACAGGTCCTAAAAACAAAAAAAAAAGGTCTTCACAGGATGTAATTATATAAAAAGAAAAGAAGACACACACACACACACACACACACACAGAGAGAGAGAGAGAGAGAGAGAGAGAGAGAGAGAGAGAGAGAGAGAGAGGGGAAAAAAAAAGAGAGAGAGAGAGAGAGAGAGAGAGAGAGAGAGAGAGAGAGAGAGAGAGAGAGAGTAGGCTCTGACACTGGAATTCCCGGGACTGAATCTGTCTGCAAGGACGCGGAGACCCATCCAGGTGCCTACCGTCCTCCCCGGAACACAACGCACCCTCATCACGACTGTATGGGACTCGAAAGGCAACTTGTATACATCATCGTCAGGGCGCGTTGCGTTCGGGGGACAATGTTTTTTTTTTTGGTTTTGTGTGTGTGAACAAATGTGTTTTTTTTTTTTGTTTTGTGTGTGTGAACAAATGGTACAAGGTTTCGCTGTGACACACGGTTACGCTCGGGCGACAGTATTTTTCTTTCCCTGGGATCTTACTCTGGTCATCTGATTGTCTGTGGATTCGAACACTGGTCTGCATTTCAGCAGGTCGTTGGTGAGTTGGTTTTCTTGGGACAAATGCGGCACACAACGCTGCAGCGTAGCAGTGTGCCGCTGATGAGCAGTGATGAACAGTACACTTCCAGGGCCTGGCACACCACAACCAATGTGAGCACATCTTTCCATAGAAAGCGGCTAGATTCATCCGTTACTATTAATAGTCGCGGGCGGTATATGCCAACTTCTGCAGGGAAATGCACTTTTTTGGTTTTGTGAGCGGTTTGGCGAGGCCGACTACCATCTTCCCCCGAACACAACGCACCCCGATCTGATAATGAATGTATACAAGCGACCTTTTTCTGTCCGGTGCAGCCAAAATGAGTGTGCTTGTGACCAGAGAGTGTGCACACGAGTTCATTTGTATTGCTCTTACTTGGATAGTATCTTGGTGCATTTGTGAAAAAAAAACTTACCCCTGGGTCTCCCTCCACTACTCTAGACTCTCAAAGATTTTCGAGAGTGAGTCTAGAGCTGTCAGACTCTAGAAAAGACTGAAAAAGAGAACATCGCTCCACTTACTCTAGAAGGTAGAACTTGAGAAGGCCTCTCGGATGTCAGACCACTCTTTGAGAGAGCTAAAAGACACGGCCAGCAGGTTATTGTCCGCCCAGACTCCAGGTGCACTCCATAAAAATGCTCAACTTTCAAAGGTCCTCGCTGCCTCCCTTGAAATTCGTGCCGGTGCAGGAGGCCGCTCTCAAAACGTCAAGAGTGCCACGGGAGAGGACGTTCTGACAACTCACGAAAATCGTTTTGGTGAGTGTGTTTGGTGAGGTAGTGGATCGACGATGGATTCTTGCCATTTTCGTGAGTAGATACTGACAGCTCAAGAACCCGAATTCCAGACCTCGCGTCTAGAGTTAGTGGAGCGGTGCTGAGCTCAAGAAATGGCTAGTTTCTAGAGTAGTGGAGCGAGACCCCCTGTCTCTCATTTGCAATGAAATGTTTCATTTCTCCAAAAAAAAAAAAAAAAAAAAAAGAGGGTGCGTTGTGTTCGGGAGAAGACGGTACCCTCTTCACCCAAATAGATTACATCATTGTTTGTTCCTTTTGAAATTTCCTTTTTAGGGAAGATCACTCATCTCGTTGCGCAGTCTGGTGATGGGCCAATAGCTCTAAGCGCAGGCAATTCTGGCTGGC